TAGCACACCATAAAGCAATATATCATATATATATATATATATATATATATACGCACAAACTTATACACTAATAAAATGTATTCATATACAGAACCCACATATACACATATACATATACATACACACATAAAATAATACCTGGCCACTTGTATCAGAGGGTACCCGTCTATTAGGGCGCCTAGTCAATCCCTACGTCTACAAACGCCCGCACACATTTCTTTTTGTTCAACATCCACAGAGCCAAAAAAAAAATATACTGCAACTGAGACAGAGTGTTATCAAGCGTGAGCAACGACCTGAAGACGGCCAGCACACTCGAAACCTCCGTCACAGCTATCGACGGCCCCCAAAGGGTTCCGTCTACCCAGTTTCATTCACAAGGCTTAGGTCAACCCGTGATATGATTTTCAGGCACATTCCAAATGTGCCGCACGTTGGGATTGACCCCTCCAGATCGTTAACATCAGAAACTCTTCTTCCTGATATATCGGGCATGGCGAAATTCGAACCCCGGTCTCATGGTCAGAAAGCGAACTCGACCACGCGACAATCTAACATACACACATACCCATATACATACTGACAAATATATGCGTAAATAATAATATATAAACAAAATATCCAAATATATCCAAATATAAATGTAAAAGGTACATAAGAGTGCATTTCATCCATTGCACCTAAATAAATACACACACACACACACACACACACACACACATATATATATATATATATATATATATATATTAAAAAAAAAAACACCCATAAAAATACATAAATACAAATAAACGCATACATGTTTACATATACAAAATATATATTATCCCAAATATACCAATAACAAATATAGACTTCTCCGAATAACTATATATATATATATATATATATATATATATATATATATAGAGAGAGAGAGAGATAGATAGATAGATAGATAAAGCTAGTGAGACAACAAACCTGAGGTTTTCACTAAACGGATCATCAGGAAAGCTTTCCCTGACGATCCGCTGAGGTTAAAACCTGGGTAGGTTTTCTAATTGGCCCACTAGGTTTATCTAGGTCTGCTCTACGGTTGTATTGAGCTCTTTTGTTAGTTAGTTGTTTACTCGTGTCGGTTTTTTTTCTTTGGGCTTCAAACCTGTATCTGTGCGGTTTTTTTCGACAGACTTTCATGTTTTTAGCTCTTTCTTTTTTAAAAACCCATTCTCCAGGAACGGTCTTCCCAAGAATATACAAAAGGCTATATGTAAATATTGTGTACACTTTCTTGTTCCAATACATTTTGTTCTAAGTACATTTTGTGCTGTATTATTATTCCATGCATTAGTCAAGTTTCAACAGAAAGAAAGAAAAAAAGAAAGAAAGAAAGAAAGAAAAGATGATGAAATGAAAATCATGAAAAGTAAAAGAAAGAAAGAAAAAAGAATGGAAGAATTTAAAACTTAGCGCATATTAGATTTGAACATTCTCGTTTCTCTTACAGACTCCTTTTATGGTCTACGAAATATGTTCTCCATTACTTGAAAAACTGCATATCAAACGTATTGTCTTGGAACGCAAGTGAATCTGACCCTGCGCCCACATATTTTGAAAACATCAAACAAAAGAATTTAATGCAGTCAAAATATGGCCATTATATAAAATAAGGTACTAATTAATAATTACTTTTATATGTCTAGTAATAATATAATTTTAAGTACTGAAAATAATATCTTGTTTCAGTTAACGATTTAGTAAGTTTTCCAAATGACACATTTTTATATCCGATTGTCCCGGTAGATTTAATTATTCAGGGCGCACTTTTGCTGCAGAGATGGAAGATTTGCATTTGAGCTGAATCATGGGTAATTTTTGTTTTGGGGAAACAATTGTACTGACGAATGTAGTATCATGACCATTCTTTAAATATGCTATAATGGGTGATAAAAAAATGCACACCACAATGTTCAATGCAAAAGGTAGCATTGACAATGATTGACAACTGTTATGTCTTCATTCCATTGAATGAAGATAACACAATCTTGAAATATAATGTCGCTTGGAACCGACGTAGTCTTACTAAATTCTGTAGTAAGGATATAAGACTCACTCTCGATTAGATCTGCTGGCTATTGTCCGAGTCAGTATATATGCTATTTGGACGCCCAAGTCATATTCTTGAGACGTTTGTGAATCTACTGACATTGAATGAAGGTAACGCAATCATGAAATATAATGTCGCTTGGAATCGACGTAGCCTTACTGAATTCTGTAGTAAGGATATAAGGTTCACTCCCACCTGGGTCTGCTGACTATTCTCGGCATCAGTATATATGCTATTTAGGCGCCTAAGTCATAGCCTGGAGAGGTGTGTTCATCTCCAAAACAACTCACCACAAATGCTGTACTCCGTGGAAAAAAGTTAATGTTGTGCATGTGTTTGGATCGTTGGAGTGTTATTCATTTAAAGTTCTCAAAACGCAATGAAGGACTAAATGCACATGTCTACATCCAGTAGCTGGAACGTGTCCGTATACTTTTGGTTGAAAAGCGTCCTGAGTTAGTCATAGGGAAGCGTTGTTTACCTCCATCTTAACGCATGTCCTCATACAGTAGGAACAACGCAGGAAGATATTTTGGAACACGGTTGTTCTGCTCTACGCCAGCCTCCATTATTCACTTGACCTTGCGCCAACCGATTATTACCGTTTTCGGCCGTTGAAAAAAAAAATGACGAAATTTTCTAAATGAAAACCAGATTTAAGAGTTCGTCTAAAAGCTTTCAATGCAAACCTTACGGATTGTTACTTAAAAGGTGTCGAAGATCTGCCTGAATAGGGCGAGTCGCTTTCGAAAGTATGATATTGCACTCAATTTAAAAGTTTCGATATTGTAAATAAGAATACAAAAAAAATGTTTTTCCAAATCTTTACCATTTTTCGAGGAAGCGCGTTTAAAGATTAAGTTCAGGTTCAAAATCGAAGTGTTTGGAATTCCATTCCAGTGATCAGCGAAATGATTATAGACGACATTATAAAATTTATAATTTACTGAGGCTTTACAAATCTTATATTGACAAGATGCATGGCACAAGGACATTATAAATAAATCACTGAGCCATCAAATAAAACCTTCATTTTCCTTTAAAGGAAAATTATCCTGAACAATTTAGCTATATCATGATGTATTATTGGTTATAATGACGTAATAATGTCGTTTTTTGACGTATTTTTTAACATCAAAAAACGACATTATTACGTCATTA